ACCACGTGTAAACCACCATTCCTGGCATCAGGTTTCCTAATCCAGCTGGGAAAGTGCACTGTATGTTCACTATGACAACTTTTCAACGGTCCTCACGCACCCTTCACATACTTTGAGGGCCTGATGAGAAATGAGGCTTGGGCTGTCATCTAACTTGACCAATGACCCCAAGGAGGAAGCCTGTGTGTGTCTCAAAGTTAAGGAGCAGAAAGGAGATCCTACCGGGACGCTGAAGCCTGGCCCAATGCTCCATCCTTCTGCAATGCTCAGCCTTGGTTTTGGGGTCCGCGGGGGTGGGCTGGGAGAGGAGCTAAGCCCTCTGGCTTAGGCTCTCCCAGGGAGGGTGTGAAGGTCACTTGTGTTCTTCTGAGCCGAGTTCAGACTCAGTCCCAGGGAGAAGACCGTACTCTACCCAGACCTCCGAGTACCCAACGGGAGTCATGCCCTTGGAGATTCAGTCCAGTCCACAAGCTTTAAACCATTTCCATTCCGGCAAGAAGCAGTCAACCTGGCTCAGTGAGGGAAGCTTCAGTAAAGGGAGCGTTCCCAAAGGGGAGCCGCGGTACAGGAAAAACCGTCAAAGAAAGTACTCTTTCCTGGGCCGTGGACACCAGGATGCCGCTGCCACACCTCTTGCGGCTTTCAAGGGTAAGGGACTGGTTCCAAAACCCAGGAGAAAGTGGGAAGGGAGAGGAGGAGGCGGGCAGAGGGAGCACTGCGTGGACGGTGTAGTCTGACGCCAGCGTCTGATCCCCTTCTCTTGTCTCACGGCCTGACGCAAATGGAAGCCGCAGGGCTCGGGAGTGCCTTGATACTGTCTTAGTGGGCTTTGCTGTTCTTATAGCAACATCCCACAGCCTGGGCCGTTTATAAGGGACAGAAGTTTATTTTGGTTCAGGCTCCAAGAGGCTGGAAGGCCAACACCACGGTGGCCACATCTGGCAGGAGCCTGTGCTGTCAGAACATGGCAACGGGCTGACAGCAAGTGGGCAAGGAAGCTCTCTGGTCGTTCACCGGTTCTGCGAGAAGCAGAACTCACTCCACGAGAGCCAACCCAGTTCCCCGGGGAAGGCATTCACCCACTCACAGGTGGGTGCCTTGGCGATCTGGTCACGCCGCCTCTCAACACTGCTGCACTGGGGACTGATTTCCCACTTCCAGGGTCATATTCAAGCTGTAGCTATATGTCCACATAAATCTGCCTTCCAGAGAACAGACGGGTGGAGAAATGCAGAGGATGGATGGGGGCCAGGCTGGGGGTGGGGTGGGGGAGTTGAAGGGAGGTGGAGGATTAAAAAAAACCACTCAATTCAAAATTGAATGAGAACAAGAGCCAGCACTGTGCTACAGCCGATTAAACTGCTGCTGGAGATGCCGGCACTCTATATCGGAGCACCAGTTCTGGTCCCGGCTGCTCCACTTCTGATTTGGATCCCTGCTAATGTACCTGGGAAAGCAGCAGATGATGGCCCAAGTGCTTGGGCCTCTGTCACCCATGTGGGAGACCAGGATGGAGTCCCTGGTTCCTGGTTTCAGCCTAGTCCAGCCCTGGCCTATGTGCCGTTTGGGAGAATGAAGTAGTATAGAGAAGGTCTCTCTCTGTGTCTCTCCCTTTCTCTCTCTATCACTCAGCCTTTCAAATAAATAAACAAATCTTTAGAAAATTGGTAGATACAAGAAACAAATGGCTGCGACAAAAGCAGTGAAGTATCTGCACATAACAATTATATATGCAACCTATTATGTGTTAATATGCCTGTGCATGTTCACTTAATTACTTGTTTGACTCAAATGACCAAACAACCCAGTTAAAATAGAGGCCACAGTAGATGCAACTATTTCTTTCACAATAGTGATGCCCAGAGATGTTAGGAGATGCTGTACCCTTCTCTAGAATGCTCTTTCCCTGAGGACTAGCTGTAGGTTTTTGCTGCTTGGGAAATATATTATCGAGAGTGGTTCAGGTATACTCCTGGTGGCATTTGAAACTATGTTTTTTAGAAGATCACCAAGAATTCTAACAACAAGTTTCAGGTTGGGCAAGAGACACATAAAAATATTATCAAGGTACACTAGTTTAAAAAAAAATCCAAGCTTCAGTGAGGATCAGCTCTGCCTGTCCCAACATGCCTTCGCAGACATGGGAAGGGTAGGGCCTGGCCTGGATCTCATGGAGCAGGCGTTGTCTCTGGCAGGAGACGCGGCGCCCCAGATAGCATCATCTGAGACATTAACATGACGGCAGAGAGCTTGACACGGTGTTCACATGGCTCCTAGCAAACGATGGAAGCAAGTCAAGTAGTTCTGCAAGTCCGGTCACAGTACTCCGTTCCTCTGTGGCAACTTCAATGAGAGGGGGAGAGAAGGAGAGAGGGAGGAGGGGAGGAGGAAGGATGACAGGCAGAGAGAGAGAGAGAGAGAGTTAGAGATGATAGAGATACACGGAGAGAGACACTTGGGATTCCCCGCAAACTGAGAAGACATTCCGTAGGATCAAGTTCATTCACCCTACAACGATTGAGTCCCTTCTTTGTGTCTGATCCTGCACTGAAGGCTAGTCCCTATCTTCTAGGAAGTGTGAAGACAGGTGGAGAGACAGACCAGCCAATCTGAGATCACAGCGTGAAGCCACGTGCCCTGTGATCCAATCAAGCATGGGCGGCCACAGGGCCAGTGCTCAGTCGTGCACAGGCAGAGAGAGATGAGCTCGAGAGAGCAGCAAAGCAGCAGTTGCCCTACCAAAAATATTTCTATGAAAGCAGTTTAAAGCACAAATAAAATTATTAAAGGAAAGGCAAAACTTGCTTCGACTTCTGCTGCTGCCCTTCCAGTCTAATTTTGTTTCCATTTTAAGACAATTTTTAAAAAAAAATTATCGATTTTTTTTTATTTGAAAGAAGGGCGAGAGGGAGAGAGGGAGAGAGTGAGTGAGAGGAGGAGGGAGGGAGAGATGAAGGGAGGGGGAGAGAGAGAGAGAGAGCGAGAAAAAAAAAAGAAAAGGAACAGGGAGAGGGAGAAGGCGGCTCTCATTGGTTTACTCTCCAAATGACAGCAGCTGTTAGGATGTGGCAGGTCTGAAGTTGGGAGCCAGGAACTCAACCCAGGTCTTCCACATGTTTGGAAGGAGCCATTGCCACTGGGTCAAAGGGTTTGCACTAGCAGGAAGCTGTAGTCCCGCGCTGGAGCCAGCTCTCAATCCCAGGCTCTCCACTGTGGAATGCAGGCATCTTAACCTCTAGGCTAAACGTCTGGCCCATTTCCACTTTTAACTACAAGTAGGGTGACCGTCGTCTTTCATTCTCTAGTTCCTGCAGCCTCTAGAGGTCTGAATCCAGCCACATTTGAAAGGATAGAATCCCTTTTCCCTTCCAAACTTGGGAGTTTTGAGATTTCAAAACGAGACATTCTGCCAGACAAGGCAGGAGAGGGCCACGGTGACGGGAAGGAAGAGCAAACGGAGGCGGCTTGGATGTTAGCATCCTTGTAGCCGTTCTAGGGCTTCCAAACCTCCTCTTCCCGTTCTACATCCCAGTTCCTGGTGGGATGGACGTGAGAGCTGACATCTGCAAGCCCGTCAATGTGTTGAATTAGGTGATGCTGTAGAGAGCTCAGCAGACAGCCTGCTCTGGGGTGAGGGTCCCAGAGACACAGTATTATCACTGCTGTTAATGTTTATCTTCTTACTGTCACTCTTGACACTTATCTCTGGGAACACAGAGCATCAATATTCTAGGAGGCAGGAGGGTCTCCCACTCATACACCTAGTCATTTACAAGGCCTCCAACAAACGCATGGTGCCAGGTCTTAGGGCAGAGCCACGTGTGAGCTTCACCTCCCCTTGGGCCCTTTCTTTCCCATGTAAAGCACTCTGGCACAATATTAGGCGTTGCTTCTGACACAGGGCAAGACTTCACAGGAAAAAGACACCAAAGAGAACTTTATAACAGACTCCAAGCTCATCAGGCAATGAGTACGGTGGCTGTCCAGCTACCTGGATCTCTGCAAAACTCTCCCAAATGACTCCTGCCCTGAAGCAGGTGCATCGTGTTTTACTATTTGCAGATTTGCTTTCAGGAGCCTCAGTGCCACTGCTGAGGGCACACCACAAGTTGTTGGGAAAACCAACACTAAGAAGTAACATTCACTTCATGTCTATCATGTGCCAAGCATGTTCAACTCTCCTTCAAATCTCTGGGATGACTAGTGCAATTTCCTCCCCAAATTATAGATGAAAAGCTAGCACCTAGAGAGGTGTACTTCCTGGGCACTACAGAGCAGGTAAGAGCCTTATTAGAATGCAGATCTGCCTCACTGTATCCGGGCTTTGTTTTCTCCTGCTAGATAATGTAAAACTGGACCAGAAAAACTTCAGCAAACAGATCTCTATGAAACCACACAGGAAGCAGAACCCATGCTAGCTCTGTACAATAGCAATTCCCCTCAATTTTCATTGGAATCTCCATTACTATGGGGAGAACTCTTAAGTATATGTCCCATCAGGCAAGTCTCAGACTTCGAGCTGGTTGGACTGGAGTAGGTAGAAAGAGCTGAGGTTGGATGGGCCAGGGGAGGCGATGACACCAGCTGGGTGGGTGAGGCTGGAACACAGCAGGGCCAAGTGCATATGTGCTAGGGAAAATGGAAACTGAGGATTATCTAGAAGGTTCCAGTGGAGCTGGGGTGGGGGGATACACGCCCAGGACATCATTTCTTCTTTCTAGACCCCAAAGATCCAGCCAGATCGCCTCTGAAGGGAAGCCAGCCTGTGTTCAGAGTAAACAGTTAACTCTTCTGGGCTGGAAGAAATGATTATTCAAGAGTTGGTCCCCACATACAAATGCAAATGACATCCCGAGACACATGAATGCTAATTTCTCCAACGAAGTCTGTAGACAAATGCTAGTCATTAGAAACATTTCCGTGCATTTATATTAGGCCGTCCTCTAAAAGACTTTTCAGACAAATATGTCATCAAGATATTCAAAACCATGTAATCTTACCCAAAGTTTCATCTATCAACAGCACAGGCTTCATTTCTTGCAGCTGTGTGTCAGAATGTGCAGGGAGATTACTCAGCTGATACAGCAGAGCCGGGGAGGGGCCGCAGTCTTGGGGTCCATGGAGCGCTCCAACTGGAGGGTCTGGGTTTTCCTGGTGGGCCCGGCCATTGAGCTGCAGGTGAGAGATCAGAGGTGGTGACAGGTGACCTGGAATGGATTACAGCAGAAAGGCACAGGGGCACGCTCCTTCTATGCATATCTCCATCAGCGCCTTCACACACAAGTACTACTGAGATGACAGATTAAGTCACAAGCAGAGTTACTGAGAGCTCAAGATCTTGTCTTCACCACCTTCTGCAAGGCGAAACCTCAGGCCTTTAGACGGCTGTTAGGATGGCTGAAGGGGGAGGAGAGCTGGCTAGGATGAAGGGTCAGCGTTTTCAAGTGTCCAAGAAAAGGGCTTGGCTCACAGTAATTTCTGTGTGTGTGTGTACGTGTGTGTGTACGTGTGTGTGTGTGTGTGTGCGTGCGTGCTTTCTCCTCCTCTTTTCTCCCCTCCCCTCTCTTCCCTCTTCTTCTGGGAGAGGAATGTCTGATGGAAAGCTTGTCCCGTTGCCCAGAGGGAACCTTCATGATATTTGCAGGGCTGAAAACTTTCCCGTGATCTGTTGGTTTCTTGAGGGACCATCTGAGCTTGGGTCACTTCCCTTAGTGTGTGAACGCTTGTTCACTTTTGGCGGTTATAGAAGAACATTTCCCTTAATTAATTATATGACAAAATAAAACCACCCAATAACTTATTTATTGATAATCCACTCATTCATCAACATGACTATTCATCCATCAATACATACATATATACATACATCTATTCTCCACCCATGGATAACAATGCTTGAAGAATCCAGGAATATGGCATAACTATTCCCACAGTTCTGTGACTGGAGAAACGGACGCATAGAAAGGTTACAAAATAAGACTGAGAATACCCAGATGCTAAGGGATAGATCTGAGATTGAATCATCTATTCTCCGCTTTATCCCATTCAATCCCATTAGTGATCATTTCTTAAATGTCTGCCCTTTGCCAGGTCTGAGGCCCAGGTCCAAGGGGAGGGTGAGCTGTCTCAGGTTAGTTTCCATCCTCAAGGATCTCAGTCATGAATCAGAGCCAGGTATCAAGTGACTTTAGTCAAAAGCATGTATTGAACAGGCATGATCAAAATTCAATGGTAGCTCCAAGTTAATATAAACATTTACCAGCCCAAGTGCCTGTTGTGGAATGACATTGTCAAGGGTAACGGAGGGTCTTGGGCCTCACCATCCAGCTTCCACAAGGACATCGCCTAAAGCCTGTCCTTTGTAGATGTAGAGACTGTAACTCTCATCCTGCCAGCTGCTACTTCTCAAAGGAACTGAAGAAAAGGCCCAGAGGAAGCCCAGCTCCTCTGCAGATGGCCATGGAATGGCCCTACCGGGCTCCTGTGACAAGGCCTCTCAGAGCTGTGGACAGGAACTGTGACTCTTGGCTTATGCCCACCAATGGCAAGGAGGACTCTAGAAAGCATCATTAAATTGTGGAGGGCACTATGAGAGCAGGAAGCAGACTGTGCAAAGACACATGGGCATGATGATGATGGAATGCGAGAGCAAGGTGGTTTATGTTGTTGAAGCCTAGGTAACACATGATGAAGTGGGGAATGGAGGAGCCCGGGGAATATCTAAACAGTTCAAATGAGGCCTCCTGTGAAAGGTCTTCTGTGCTGGCTAAAGAGCTTAGACTTTAAGGAAGCCACAGATATCCGGGTAATGCATGTCTGGATTCATGCTCCAGGAGCAATACTTGGAGGTGATGAGCAAGTCTGGAGGCAGGAGTGCTAGTTAGCTGCTATTGTGGATGTTTCAATGGGGGCCTATCCTAGACTCAAAGAGTGAGAAGGTGATAAGGACAGTAGATTCTGGAAAGCCATAAAAAGCAGAAGGGAAAAGATACGTGAGTGACTGGCATATTGGCTGAGGGGAGGGGAAGAGCTCTCGGGATTATCACCTGGACGCTTGAGCAGACAATGGATTTTTAGACCTGGCTAGGGGTTGTGAGAGAAGAGGCCAGCCTTGGGGAGTTGGAGGTACCTAGAAGACATCCTGGTTGAGGTACCTCCCAGGCAGCTGAAAGACTGGCTCTGGAGTTCAGAAAATTGTTGTTGAGCCATGGAAATTGGTCAGTCATTGGCAAACAGGTCACATACATGCCACTACTCACCACTTTTACACACAGAGCAGGCATCACTAATCAATTATGTAATTTTTTCCCATTGAGCCTAGCTGCTTCATCACAATGATTCAAGCATCAATTAGACATTGGATTCCACTTGATGGCTATCACAGAGGCAATGACTGAGCCACGGAGGGACTGCAAGTACACAGAGGACCACATCAAATAGCATGCAGCTGCAGTTGAAAGGAGGCTGGCTCTGATGGAAGATGACCAGGGCTCAAATCCCACTGTCACTGTTTGGTGGCCGTGGTAACTCAGGGAAGATTTCTAAGCTTTCTGGGCCTTAATTATCAATTTGTAAAACATGTATAAAAACATAGTTGTTCCTTAGTATACATCGGGAACAGGTTCCAGGACCCTGGTGGATACAGCCTTTGCCAGAGACTCTTTTGTTAGTGTAGTATTTGCATATAACCTATGCCTTTCTCTTCTATGCTTTAAATAACCTCCAGATTACTTGTAATACCTACTATATTTCAAAAGCTGTGTGAACAATTGTCAGACTGTGTTGTTTAGGGAACAATGACCCAAGAACCTGTATGTAAAGTACAGACTCTTTTTTAATGCTTTTGATCCTCTGCTGGTTGAGGTCCTAGATTCAGCATCCCTGCATATGAGCGGCCCACTGTGGCACTTCCTGAGGTTCTGGGTTGGATTACGGTCAGGCAGAGTGGCTCAAGCAACCTAAAGGTTCCACGAAGGCCGCTTGGGAGCGCTGAGAAGAGCCAAGGAGGCTGGCTAGGTGAAGAAGGTTTTCTGGGAGACTGCTTTCCACGACGCCAGCGCTCAGGCAGGCTGATCTGCGATTCTCCCAGTCGCAGAAGATCAGCAGGCATCTGGGGAACAAACACTCTGCTGACTCCCAAGACTCAGTGCTCAACACGGGATGGTGCGTGGCTTCTACAGATGTTTTGGTGTCTCCTTTAACAATAACAGGGTTTGGGGTTTGATCTATGCGCTCCTAGATGTTGTTTCTGTGCAGAGAGTCGGGGAAAAAGGGTGGCTGCTGATTTAGTTTGGTGGCCGTTGGGTCTGACCTTTCTCTGCTCACCAAGAGAAGCAAATGGGTGGGCGCTTGCTGCCGCCCAGGTGGGAGATGAATGCGGCTTCAATTCTCTCAGTTCAAGAGGCCATTTTTCATTTTAGGTTGCCAAGCACGTGTCACCTGAGAAAGGCCTTGCAGCATGTCTAGAAAAGCATGTTAAAAAAATAAATACATATAATTTATTTATTTGCCTGGTTTGCTGTTTCCCAATCATGCTCCTCAATCTAGAGGCACTGTTACGGTCTTTTGGGTGTAGTACAGCATATAAAGTGTTTAACAAAATACCCTCAAATTTATGTAGCAAGTATCAAATTTATCTGAGTAAATAAACGATTATGTTTTCTGAACTGCGTCCCTGCCTGCTCAGCCAGCCTTTCGGAACCTTTGCCAAGAAATGAGAACCGCGGAGTATGGGCTTCATAACCACAGAGAGGTTGTTCCTTTGGGGGTAGAGTGGGGTTGGAGCTTCAATGTGATTTGCATGGCAATTGTACATTAGTCTACATGCAAAGGATCACATGGTTATTGGGCCTGCAAACAGAACTTCTGGCGACCTCAGGGGGAGGGCATCAAGCCCTGCAGTTGGGACAAATCGGCCAATGTCAAGAAGGCATTTCTGACCGTATGTGTCTCAGTGATGGGCTCCGGATGAGTTTTTGGTGTTTCCTTTGAATTTCCTGCTGTGCACTGGTGTGTGTGTGTGCGCGCGCGTGCATGCGTGTGTGTGTATGTGTGTGTCTTAGTGGGAACATTAGTGCATTTGCTTTTGTGCGAGGGAATATGAGTCCATTCAGATGTGGATGGGAAGAGAGAAACAGCCAGAGGAACAAAGAAGGAGAAATAAGAGAGGGGGAGGAAGAGAGGAGCAGAGATCAGGCGGTCTCAGAAGGAGGAAGTTCAGCGGGAATCTTCAGTGACCCAGATCATCAAAGTCCCGACTGCATGGACTTTGCCATCTGTGGGGACGCTATCAATAAACAAGTGGTTAAATAAGATAATTCCAGATAAACTGGCTAGTCCAAGTACAGGCTAAAATGTTACCCTTTCTCTTGGTAGGATGGACTGTGTTGTACTCCCAGGGCAGCTCTGGTCCTTGAATATCCCTTCCAGGGGGTAGATCGTGTCTGGAACATGATCAATACTTTGACTTAGACTATTTCATCCTTTACATCATGGGTGGTCCTTGTGGCACAGTGGATTAGGCTGCTGCTTGGGACATGCGTATCCTAGACTGGAGTAAACTGGAACCCCAGCTCCTCTGTTTCCCATCAGCTTCCTGCTAATGCACCTGGGAGGCGGCACTGACATGATGGCCCAAGAACTTGGGTACCTGCCAGCCAGGTGGGAGACCCAGATGGAGTTCCTGGTTCCTGGATCCGGCCTGGCCCAGCCTTGTCTATTGCAGGCATTTGGAGAGTGAAGCTGTGGAAGATTCTCTGCTTCCCTGCCTCCACCCCAGTCACTCTTCCTTTCACATACATGGATAAATACATCTTTAAAAAGTTTAACTTAAAAATTCTTTTATGACGGTAGTTCTTAACCAGAGCAGATTTGGCGCTTCCCCTCCTACAAGGAACATTTGACAACCAACAAAGCAGGGTCAAGTCTGAGGTCCTCAATGCTCAGGCTGAGAAATCCTAGTTCCATAAAAGTTAGCGGCTGAGCCTGGGTACCCACCCCACCGGGGCCTGCGAGTGCGTGAGTGTGCGTGTGTGCACGTGAGATTCGTCAGCAAGCCATATCCCTTTAGAAAAAGCCTTCAGCCTGGTGGGACTGATCTCCTTGCACAGGACAACGGCCTCCCCAGACAGTGAGTGTGGAGCCCACACAGCCTTTGCTGGGGGCTGCAGGCA